GCGTAGTCAATAAAGCATAGGTAAACATCCTTCTGGTATTCTCTGCTTTCAGCCAAGATCCATCAGACATCCACAATGATATCTCTCGTTCCACGGCCTCTTCTGAATCCAGCTTGAACCTCTGGAAGTTCTCTGTCAATGTATGATTGTAGCCATTTCTCTATTATGTTGGCAACATTTGAATGCTATTGTTGTTGTTAAAGTACCACTGAGTTGATTCCGACTCAGCAATCCTGTATAGGGTTTCCAAGGAGCAGCTCGTAGGTTTGAATTTGTGGATCACAGTCCAGTGCTGATTCTACAGCGCCACACCAGGATACTTCAAATAAAAGTAGGACTGCTTGACTATTTGGAAGAGCTGATGGTACTGGATTCTCATTCCCACCCACAGGCTGCCAGTCGACACCATTGCTGTGTGGTCAGCCACACTTCTGGTTCTCTAAGTCATTTGATGTACTTCTCACATGAATTCTATTCACTTCCCTTCCTAGGGCTGACAGGGTTTGGTGTACTTCTATGAAATGGACATTTTCCTGTGAGCTATCTATAATAGAAACTTACTTTTCTACGTTCAAATCAGCTTGTAACACTCTCCTAAAGCTATGAAGAAGAAAAGGAAAGGAACACGGAGCCTGTTCTTCCGTGACAGCTGTGCGGGTGTTAGTGGGTGTCCTTCAAACCTGCTCCCTACACACTGAGTTACAGTGTAGCTTCCGTTTGAAAAGCTCAGTGTCAATACGCGGGGGTGAGGGGGATCTGCATCACTGTGATGGATTGCATGCTCATCTCATCGATGGCTGAACAACACTTCACTAGTCCACGTCCTGTGGATGGACATTTATGTTGTCCATTTATGAACTACTGGTAAATGTATGTTTGTGTAGGTAAAGTAGAATTATTATAGGCAAAAGATTAATATTGATACATATTGCTAAATTCCTTCCTACAGGTTTTAATAGCTTTCAGAATAATTTGCCCAGAAGGCTTCAGCAAATTAGTAACATGAGCTCCAAGACAGGTTTTTTTCTCATTTGCACCGTAGTTCTTATATACTGTGTAAATAAATTAGACTTTAATTTACACAATATAGAATTATTTTGTTAGGTGCGATTGAGTCAGTTCTGACTCATAGCGACCCTTTGCACAGCCACCCAACACTTCTCTGTTCTGTGCCATTCTCGTAATTGTTTGATTTGAGACCATTGTTGCAGCCACTGAGTCAGTCAGTCTGCTTGAGGGTCTTCTTCTTTTTCTGCTGACCCTCCTCCAGGGATTGGTCCCTCCTAATGACGTGTCCACAGTAAATGACACAAAGACTTACCACTCTTGCATCTAAGGAGCATTCTGACTGTATTTCTTCCAAGACAGATTTATTCTTGGGCTAAGGTACCTTTCATAGCAGTTGGTGTTTCTCAAATAAGGACTCATCCCTGTCTGTTTCTTCAGCTCCACAGTCCTGCCGTGGGTTAATGCGATGGACTGCAAAGTTGGTGTGAACCACAAGGTCGGTGGTTCAAGCTCACTAGCTACTCCTCGGAACCACTATACAGGGTCGCTATGAGTCAGAACTGACTTGACAGAATTTAACAACAACACGTGTCCTCAGCCACTCTGATCCAATGAGCCCCTAGCCCCAAGGCTACAAACTGGGCATTATGAAGTCTGTCTTGCTGTTGGAAAATTAGGCCTTTTAATGTTTGTCATAGTTGCTGGGTTAGCTGTGTTCTTTATTTTACATATAATTGCCCATTTCTTTTGAGTCAGTGGTAAGACCGATGGAGAAACACCCATGGTTTTCATACCACTGTTAGTACAGTACGTGTGACCGCTGCATGAAAAGGGACATTCATCCCTGAATACTGATGAGCTCTACACAGAATCTCATGGAAGGCAGACACCATGGCTGCAGCAGGAAATCAGTGAGGAAGAGACATGGATCTCAAGGAGTTTCCAGAAACAGACATCAGGTAACTGATATGAATGAATAGGTCTTTGGGATTCTCTGGTAAGCAGCAGACTGTTCCAGGAAAGGCTGGGAGTATCTGGAAGCAGGTCTGTGGTGACAGAGGTGACTCCTCTCAGGTTTTCACACATCCTTAGCTAAGACTCTTGTCAGGAGGTGCTGTCAGTTAGTTCCAACTGCACACAGAACGAAACCCTGTCCGGTCCTGCGCCATCCTCACAGCTGTTACCACTGTGTCAGTCCACCTCGCTGGGGGTCGTCCCCTTTTCGCTGACCGTCCGCTTTATCAGGCATGATGGCTGAGCACTGAGGACACGCTCAGACAGAAACTGTACTTCACCTGCCCGCCTCCAAATTCATATTGACATGTGCCTTAAAATGTTGTTAGCTGACGGTGAGCCTATTCCAACTCATGGCACCCGTGTACAGGGTTTCCGAGGCTATACGTCTTGACAGGAGCAGAAAGCCTCCTCTTTCTCCCACAGAGCAGCCGACTGACTCGGTTAGCAGTGCAGTACTTGTCCTACAGGTCTCAGATTTCATTGCCAAAATTAAATAGAAGTTTTTCCCCATACTCCTTTTGGGAGAACAGTGATTAAATTTTTTGTCTCACATTTACTATATAAACCACTCTTCTTCCTCTCTTTACTTCCTTAGGAGAACAGTTCTTTAGTACAAAGGGGCTTCAAAAAGGTCACTGAAATATGGAAGTGAAAAATAATGGAATTTTCCCATGAACTTTTTGAAGCCTCCTTGTATGTGCCACTGGGTCTAGCCTCACAACAGAGGCAGATGAAACAGCCTGTCTTCTGCTTTGACTGTTTTTAGGAATTCTGTCGGCTGCTGTAGTCTAGAACAAGGGAGTGGACACAGGAGTACACATTCTTAGGGAATCAGTTTTTTGTGTGTGACCAAATGAACATAGACGCACACTCTACCTGAGCTAAGCGTGTCATCGAGGCTCTTCCCTCAGGAGTGCTTGGGCCGGATGTACTGCGCAGCTGCTCTGGGTTCTGGTGTAACTGGGACAAAATGACACACAATGAGGAGACTGGCTGAATGTAACTGTAACCACCACAGACCACTAACAAAATGGAAACACAAGCATTTGTCATCAAAGAGTATCAGTAGAAGTAAAAATCACTGTCAGTGTAGGTATGTACTGGCTTACACTGGGGCTGCTACTGACCACACAGGGCTATTGAAGGAGGGAAGTCTGAGACTCTGCCCCAGAATGAGGAAGCACCATGGAGGCAGGACACGTTCCAGTGGCAGTGGGCATTGCCCAGTGTCTTACAACCATGAGTTCTCACCGTGTAACATTACCACTCAAATAGCACATGTTCATGGCCGCAAAGCAAAACACAAAGCAACATAAAAGACCCAGCTATCTCTCTGCTTGGTCCATGTCCACAAGAAAGAAAAACCCATGGCAAGACTAATCTATGCACACCCATGTTCACTGCAGCATTAGCCACAATAGGAGAAAAAAAAAAAAAATTGGATGACCGCCCATCAATGGAAGAATTGACCAAGAAACTTTGGTACATATACACAATGGAATACTATGCAACCTTGAAGAATAACAATGAATCTGCAAAACACCTCAACACGGGTGACCCTGAAGGACATGCTGAGTGAAGTTAAGTCAATCACAAAGGGACAAACACTGTATGAGACCACTATTATAAAAACTCAAGAAAAGGTTCTTAAGCTAACATAAACGATCTTTGATGGCTAGCAGGGACAGGAGGGAAGGGAGAGTAATTCACTGGCTACAGGGTAGTCATGTTAACTTGGGTGATGGTGAAGAGCAATATACAAGAGGAAGGTTGGCAGAAGAATGATGAAGACAGGTGAAAATACAAGGAGATTTGCATGGGCTAAAGGGAATAGAGGTAAATTCTGCTTTATACACAAACCCTGGAACAACAGTGTTCTGCAGGCAGATACATGGACAAATACAAAGGCTGAGCAGGTCAGAGAGGGAGTATGAGCAAGTAAGTACATAAGGGTCTGACAAAGGATCTTTGTACATAGATATTTACCTTTGCTGCAAACACACCTGTGGATATGGTGGAGCATACAGGGGGTAAAATGATGAAAACTTAGATTCTCAAACATCTTAAGGCAATGAGGTGCTGGGCCTACGGGCTCACAGGACACTGTGGTCAATGGCATGGCACAGTCTACAAGATAATGCTCTACATCTTACTCTGGTGAGTAGTGACTGGGCTCCTCAGAGTTCAGGAGCAGCCATCTGAGCTGCAACTATTGGCCTCTCCGTGTGTGGAATAAAGAAAGAGTGATGAAAATTGAAACATGCTTGGAATCAACTAATCTAATGGACCAATGGTGCAGGAGAACATCAGTCAGCACAACCCTGAGAACATTGAGAACTAGATGGTGCCCAGCTACCACTGTAACTGCTCTGAAAGGGATCACATTAGAAGGTCCTGGATAGAGGGGGAGAAAGTGTGGAATAAAACTCCAAATTCTAAAAAAGGCTATGCTTATTGGTCAGAAAGAGGCTGTAGGAACCCGAGACTAGGGCTGTCCACCATCCTTCAGATGTGGAATATAACTCATGCTTGTGGCCCAACTGTCATCCAAGCTGTAGACAGAAAACAGAGGGGGGGGCGGCAGGGGAACAACAGCACTAGTAGGCAGGCTCATCATGAAATGGTTAAGCACTGAAGATTAAAAGGGCAACATTTTCCTAAGGACAAAGGTGAGAAGGGATGGGAAAATGGGTGGGATGGAGATAGGACCCACAGGGAGGAAGTAAGGTAACTAGTCCTTGCATGGAGGGGATTGTAATCATTGAGATGAAACAAAAGGTATGATTTTTCAATGTAAAACTGATGACCTCTAAGTCTTCATTCAATTCGCAATAAAAAGTTTAAACAAAACACCCTACAATTGTAAGGCAACCCCATAAAATGGTTGCAACTTTAAAACAAACAAACAAACCCAGTTTAGGTATGCTGAGGGAATGAGTTCTTTTTTTACATTTTTTATTGTGAATTAAGTGATAGTTTACATGGGAAAACATTAGCTTTACATTCATCCGATTGTATTTCGTTTCACTGCAATGATTACAATCCCCTCCATCAAACAATCAACGGGTGCTCCCCACAAGCCTGGCCCCCAACACTAGGCTGTCAGCACACAGCCCCTCTCCCTCTCTGAGTCCAGAGTCCCCAGCCGCTCCATCTCTTTGCTCCACATCATCGCCTCTGCCTCCATCTCCGGCGTCAGTCACTGCTTCTCTGGATAAGGGTCCCGCACTCAGCTCTTCTCCCTTGATGGTCCCAGGGATCTCCACCTCTGCTTGCTTCTGGACTGCAAACTCAACCCCTGCCCTCCTTTTGTAACAAAACATCGATCTCTACATTTCCAACCCTCACAGCCAGTCATTATAGCAATTATTCACTACTGAACCACAAGAGTCTTATCTTATCCCCATCTCTATTCATCAGCCCTGTCCATACAGGTTGGAAACCAGGGAATGAGTTCTTTTAAAAGTAAAATTCCTAAATACAATTCGACAATTTTAGCCTACCTTATACTAGCCACTGGGACATAACTCTAGAAGCATGAAAGACTGAGAGCCACTTCCACCTGCAACTACGTGCATCTTTGAACGCCTTTCCACTCTTCCTCTGAGCTGAAGGTTCTGGCTAAGTTTTGGATCACTGGCTGCTACACTAGATGAGAGCTGAACCAGGGAGAAACCCAGGCCCTGGGGAGGGTGCCCTGTCAATCAGCAACATGCTCTGACTGCCCGAGTTCTAGCTGGAAGCCCTTGGTCCTAGTCAGTAGGTATTAGCAGAAATGTAACTCTGGAAACATCAGAAAAAGGGGTGGGGGACCAACGAGGAAGGACAGAACAAAGAAAGGAAAAAACTGGTCATGAATACTATATAAATTACAAGTTTTTGTGTGTATGTTTTTTTTTTTTTGTTTTTTTTTAAGTACTAAATTGAAATGAGTAAAAAAAAGGCTAACAGGCTCTAATGAATTAGGAATCCTCAGATAAACCCCATTTCTCTGTTCAATTTCCTCATCTATAAAAACAGGAAGTCAGTCTCTGGGGCCTAGCTCTGATACTTGAGGCGTTCCCAGCATATGGAACAGTTTATTCAGTGTTCTTCAAACAGCTGGGGAGACCAACCCAGCCTGCCACAAACACACACTCAACAGCGGTCAGCGGAGTAGCCCCAGGATTAGGTGGTCCTCCGTCCATACAGATGGAAGGTTCTGTGCACACAATAGCTGGCTGCCGGCCCCTGGCTACCTTCCATCTCCTGGACTTTTTGTGGCAACAAAGGAGAGAGGTCACACAGAAACTGGGAACAGTCATCCTCTTTCCTGTCTTGCTTCTGTCCCCAGAAATAGGTGGGTTGCCTCAGAAGCCCTCAGGTTGAGAAACACCTGGTTAGGCCACAATTAGCAAAATTACAAGGCTGAGGAAAAGTTAAAAATTAAAATACGAGCCAGGAAATGACTAAGAACTTGAAATAGCCATGGAATTATCTCTATTTGTAAAGCAGGGAATACCTATTTTAGACAAAAATGTATGTTATAAAAACCCACTGCTGTCAAGAGGGTTTCGACTCCTAGTAATCCTACAGGACAACTGAGAACTGTCCCCACTGGGTTTCCAGAATTGTGGATCTTTCTGGGAGCAGAAGGCCTCATCTTTCTCCTGACAGTGGCGGGTGGGTTCAAACTGCTTACCTTTCAGTTAGCAGCCGAGTGCTTAAGCACACCTGACTCAGCAGCAAAATGACCAGAACTTGGCATAGCTGCAACTGTTAAGATGGATTTTGAGAAAGGGAACATGAATCCAAATTTGCACAGAGCAATAAGGGCAAACCTGGGAATAACTGTCCTGTTTTGTCATCAGGAAGAATAACTAGGAAAGCTCGAGGCCATGCTTCCCAATGTTTGCACAACTGGGAGTTCACCTTCCAGGCTTCTCTTGCCTTCCGTCTCACAGCTTCAGACACTTACTCTTAAGCATGGTCAGTTGGCTCTAGATGTTCTAAGCCTTGCTAATTGACAACAATGTTAATTTGTTCATCTGCAAGTGAAGGTGGATATGAAAAGGTAACAGAAGTCTGCTTTATTTATGTTCAACCTCTTCTGATGAACCAGCCCTCCCACCCGCCCAAAAAAAGCCTGTTGTTGTTGCTAAGTGTTGTCGAGTCAATTCTGACTCCAAGCACCCCAGTATAAGGTTTCCAAGGAGCGGCTAGGGAGTTTGAACCACCAATGTTGTGGTTAGCAGTGCAGGGCTGATCCTACAGTGCCACACCAGGACTCCTATTGTATTAAAAACTCAAGGTACATATAATAGTAATAAAAGGACACTATTTTGCAATGCATATCAAAACATTATTATTATTACTATATTATGCTCCAGACTTTGTGTAGTTGGAAGTGCTTCTTTAATGCTTTTGTATGCATAGAAAGAAAGGTACCTAAAACAAACATTTTACTGACCTTATATAGCTGTTCCTAACTGTTCCAACTTATGTACAAATTCGACTTAAACACAGACTTAGGAACAGAACTCACTGTGATCCATGGATTGATTATACTAGCAATTACTGTAAGATTATTAGTGTGGTGCTGTAAGGTAACACACTAGACTGAAAGGTTGGTTTGAATCACAAGGTCGGTGGCTCAAACTCACCAGCCACTCCTTGGAAATCCTGTACAGGGTCGCTATGAGTCAGAACTGACTCAGCAGTACTAAACACATTTAACAACAACAAATTGGAAAATACAATGTTCTTCAAATAGCTGGGAAAAGACACCAACCAAAATGGTATATGCCACAAACACTATAACCAACCAACAGCCAGGTGTCAGAGCACCTGAAGCTAGGAATTCCCCAATTATTACCACCAGCCTCTTCTCAGAAACCCTGTAAAGGGTTCCTTATGGGTGGGAACAGACTCAAAGGCACTTAACACAATAGATAGGGGTGGATACTTGGTATGATAAGCAC